TCTCACTTTTATGCTGGTACTTATTCTCTCCAAGTAGGCGAGTACTGTATGATGCCAAGTAAAACCAATTAATACTAGCATTGTGTTGATGGTCCAATTAGCTTCATGACATTGCAAATTACTACTAGTGGTATTAGCTGCAACCAGTACACGTGATTAATCGGTACTGTAGGTGTGTGTTAGTTGTAATAATTACACAGTCAACCAGCTTGCCGCCTGTAGGTTGGCTGTGGATCATACTGTGAAGTCCGGTAAATCGGCCAGCAAGACATGTCAGCCTGTTCGTTTCGTCTAGTGGATTATTTATTGCTAGCGGGTTTGATGTAAAAAAAAAATATTATTTTAGCTTATAATCCACGATCGTATACGAGCAAGCGAACAGACTGACAGAGCACACGGTCGGACCCATGACTCCATGAGCACTTTTCGTCACCCGATGGCACCACCACGTTGCGGGAGTTGTGGTTCTGAAGTGCCCGATTAAGGGGGTGTTAGGATACTATGATTAAAATTTAGGATGTGTTATATGGAGGTGTTGTATGGGTGTTCGGATATTAATAAAAAAACAAATTACAGAATTCGTCGGTAATTCGTGAGACGAATTTATTAAGCCTAATTAATCCATTATTAGCACATATTTACTGTAGCATCACATTGTCAAATCATGGATTGATTAGGCTTAAAAAATTCATCTCGCAAAACAGTCTCAATCTGTGCATTTAATTTCATAAATAGTCTATATTTAATACTACATGCATATGTTAAACATCCGGTGGAACATCAACTAAAGTTTAGAAGGTGGAACCGAACATTAGCATTATGCTAGGAGTCTTCGGTCCATGTTTGTCCGTGCTGTGGTCCATGTATGAAGGTGATAACCACGATAAATGCATTTCTTTGTCGGAAACTGGGGTGTTTGGTTTTTTAGTCGCTTCTAAAATTCATGTCACATCGAATGTTTAGATATCAATAAGGAGCATTAAATATAGATTAATTACAAAACCAATTACATAGATGAAAGGCTAATTTGCGAGATGATTTTTTAAGCCTAATTAATCTATCATTAGCACATATTTACTGTAGCATCACGTTGTCAACTCATGAACTAATTAGGCTTAAAAGATTCGTCTCGCAAATTAGTCGCAAGTTATGCAATTAGTTTCATAATTAATCTATATTTAATACTCCATACATATGTCAAATCATTCGATGTGACAAAAATTTAGGATCATCTAAAGAAACAAACAGGGCCTAAGGCTCCGTTTGGAACACGAGAATTTTCTTCCAGTTCTTACATTTTTTTTCTATAAAAATAAATTGATTTATGTGAAAACTCTATTCGATTCTTGTGAAATTCTTGCATTATAAACAGGCACTGAGGCGGCTCGGCTCCATGCGGCTCCGACTTTGACAAAATATAACTGGAAAAGTAAAGAAACCAGAAGGGCCAATGTTACTGCTACCGTTGCATCGCCGGAGCCGGCCCGAGCCATTTTCTGTGCTTTACTTCGCCAGGAATTAAAATCTGTGAATAAACTTCATTACTTCAGGGTTAGCAGTTAGGCACAAATCATTATCAAAAGCATGGCATCGGTGACAGGCCTTGCAATGCATGTGAGTTCCACATCCCCTGAAGAAAAGAAGTTGGGATTTCCTCCATGCCATGGCCACCTTCGTCTACCTCAAGCCAAAATGCCGACACGGCATGACCGGGAAGAGACCAAAATCCAAAGCGAAAGTGAAAGCAAAAGACACCGAAAGGGAAAGGCAGATGCAGGCGAGAATAAAGGCGGGGAATTGAATTTGAAGCAGCTGCCTGCGCCGACCAGCTTACATACTCAACCTTCTCGCCTTCGATTCCTTCCCACAATTAGCAAGAGCTCGTATTCTTCAATTCTCTTCCAACAGCTCTCCACTTGTCACCGAGGCCTCGCGGCGGCCGCCGGCTGCTCCATGGCCTCTTCGTCCTCCTCGTCCTCACCCTCCAACCCCGCGTTGCCACAGCCGCCGCCTCTACTGCTGCCGCCGCCGGAGCCGGCGTCTGCACCCGCGCCTGCGCCGCCGCTGCCGGAGGCCAGGCCCAGGCCCAGGCCGAGCCCCACCGTCGCCGATGGCATCCGCGGCCTGCTCAGGTCCGGCGAGGCGCTCATCCGCGCCGTCTTCGGGGGTAACTCCGGCCAGCCGCGCCTTCCCGTGAAGCATCAGCAGCATCACCTTCACCACCACCAGCCGCAGCACCGCCCTGTATGCTCTCCACCTCCCCCTTCTTGAGAATTCATTCATGACCTGTGAAATTGAGTCCTACTAGTGATTAGTAGTGACTAGCATTGGCCATCTGATGTTCGTGCCGCCACCTAATTGCTTCAAATGTCTGTCATTTTCACATCCATGGTTTGCTCCTCACCACAAAATTTGTTGATCAGGATCTGAACTTGACATGAGTCATATGTCATGCTCCACATTTTCCATGGTTGCTGTTTTCATGTGGTTTGTGCACATTTAAATAGCAGTTTCTGTAAATCCAGAACAGTCTTGTGTTACGAAATTCCCATAGCAGCAGGCAAAATTTTAAATGGATTTTACTAAGCTATTACTTAAGATATTATAACTGACAAACTGCAAGCTGCAAGTTTGCTCTACAGAGTTATCTTGGCTATGCACATTGGTTTGTTCGAACCATGGACTACAAGCTGCATTTATTAGGTCAGATGAACAATATACTAACGTTTGAAGTGCATCTGTTGAGTGAATTGGAAACATGCACAAGTAATTGCTTCTTACATAACCTGCACTTAACAAACAATCAAACATCACTAGTTAGTCCAAGTGGGCATTCTTTCCTCCTTGATCTATATGTTCTTACTTCAGAAGTGGCTCACTGCTATATTTTTTTTTTTCCGCAGGGTGATATCATGAAGCGCATACAAAGAGAAACATTTTCCGATGTCATGAAGTTCAAGGAGAAACATGATCAGATCGAACACATCCTTTCGTTATATAAAACTGGCAAGGGGTTTGAGTTCCTAGATCTCCCTATCCAGGTGAAAATAGCACTTGATGCGGTTGGGGCACTGTTTCTTGTCGACGGTACTGAATTCGAACAAGCAAAAGCAACCCTTGACAAGGTGGGGAGAAGAACGGGCCTCAGTTCAAGGTTCGTCTTTGAGTCAAAGACCAGGGGCAAAGACACCATTGCTGCAGAGCTCTCAACTCAGCTCGGAGCAGGTGACCATTTGGGGAGACCTGTAGAGCTGACTAGGCTGCAGTACAGTGCTCGGATCAACAAATGGCTGTGGATGACCTTAGTCCCGTTTGGAGCCCGGTGCAACAACTTCTTGCATAGTCCAAGCATGATTCAGGTATGTGTCCCTTCTGCTGCAAGCATTGGCACAGCTGTTGCTTTCCTTGGACAAAACTGAACCATGTAGTAACTCGACTGATGAAATCGTGAAATTTGTTGTCAGAATCTACGGAGTCAAGCCTCTTTCGACGGTCCACCTTCATTTTTCGACCAACACAACTGCGGTGCTGGTTTGAGAATCGAAGGGTCCAAATTCACCGCCTCCTTTTCTGAGCTAATCTTCGGTTCAGGAGGACTAGACAGTGGGGGCGGAGGAACTAACCGCATGACAACATTCGGGCAAGTGTCCTGCAAACCAGCCAATGATGTCAAGCTCAGTTTGTCGGGAATTTGGCAGGTCCACTCATTGTCGCCCCTGTTCAACAATCTCGGAATCCTTGCTATTCCACTAGGCAGCCTAAAACCAGGAAACCCTACAGTAAGCGGTACAGGAGAACATACCGAATTGAGTGTGAAATTCAACAATCAGACTGGTGCCAGTGCCACTTCACACACCGTAGTGGCAGTGCGCGGTGCCTCTCCCGCTGTGCAGCTACCGCAGTCGATGGCGCTGATGGTGGACTGCGAGCTGTACCAAACTCTCAAGACAGAAGGTTGGTTTCAGATGGAGAGGTCCATCCATGGACCAGTGCGCTGGGGCTTCTCGTTGTCCGACATCCCGGATAACGAACTCGGGTGGGGCGTGAAGGTGAGCGGCGGCACGGCTGAAGAGATGAGGAGGAGGAATCAGCTGCAGCACCTGGAACTGGAAGGTTTCCTCAACTTCAACCTTGGTAAGGGCGCAAGGTTGCAACCAGGACTTGTGTATGCCAAAATGGAGACTAAGATGACGCCGGCGCTGTTTCTGCGCTCGTCGTGGGTCATGTGATTTCATCCTTACAGCATGTGGTTTCTGGTTGTGAGACTTATCTTCTATTTTGCCTTGTTTGGTCACCTGTTAACCGCTGACATTGTTGCAGCTAATAACCATTTTGACTGACATCCTTGGAGTCTACTTTGAAACCCCACAGCTGCATTGTTTCGTGTGATTTTCAGTCCAAGGATTATGATACTTGTTCTACATGGCAAATGGATCATAATTTGTCATAATATTTTTTACAACTTTAACTACTTTTAATAATTGGCCAACAAAGCCACCCCCCCAGCCAGCAGTATATATAGTAGATTCTAAAGAGGAGATTGCCAAACAAATCCAGTAAGGCAAAGACGTTGCATCAAACAAGTAACCCACAATCACAGGCGTTGTCACAATTGCCCACATAGAGGCAGAGGCAGGAAAATGCAAGGGCGAGCCAGCATGGTAAACAACTAACAAGTTTAATAACTGAGCGAGATTTGCAACTAAGATGATAGGAGTAGAGACTAGTGATGCCTTAAACTGAACAAAGTGTGCAAGAAGCATACCACTTTCCGCTGATGAAAACCAGTTGAACAGACATCCATCCATCCACAATTCACACCAAAACTTTCAGAGTTAGAAGCTCAACCCACCCAGTTTGTTTTGCATTGACTTCTCACAAACTGATCTATCTATGATCTGCCTACTTGACATCAAACTGAATGTGCCTATTTCTTCGGGTAACCACCCAGAACCGCAGCAGGACGAACGTATGCAATGTAAGCAAGGAGGAGGCGCGGTTCAATCCTCGAATGCCCAGGCGTTCTCCCTCCTGACCTCGGCCTCCTGCTCGGGCGTGTAGTCGTTCTCGATGTCCAAGGCAACGCGGATCTCGTCAGGCGTCTTGCCCCTCATCTTGTCTGCTACGGCCGTGCAGCCCAGGTCGACCAGGTCCTCGATGGCCATTAAGTTGGCAACCTGCAGCGCAGAACCACTCAATCAAGGCACATATATCAATTTCGTTTCATCCAACCACACAGTACCACTCCGACGTTTGATCAACGAACGCTTCGCTCTGACGACGGAAACAGGAAAGAAAAGCATCGATCGGTGCGGTGGGTTACTTACGATGATGAGGTTGAAGAGGGCGGAGTTGTCTGGGAGGTCGCTGATGAACTTGCGGTCCCAAGCCTTGAGGCCGTGCGGGTCGGGGTCGAGCTGGGTGACGGGCTTGACGGCGTACGGGGCCGGCGTGAAGTCGATGGGGAAGGGCGGGAACGGGTCGCGGAGCCTCGCCGCGGAGGCCACGGGGTCGTAGTGCGGCGCGTGCTTCTCGCAGTAGGCCGCCACCAGGCGGAGCGTGCCGGCGTCGGCGCCCTTGATGGGGATGCCGCCCTCCGCGCAGCCGGCCTCAATCATGTCGAGGAGCGTCGTCGACATCCGCGCCGCGGAGCGTGACAGCCGGACCACCGTGCCGCACTCCGCCACCAGCCGTAAGTCGCCGCCGACCTCGACGCCTTCCCCTCCCGCTGCTTGCTGCTGCTCCTGCTTCGTCGTCGCCGCGTCGGTGGCCGGGGGAGCCATGGATTTGGGGAATTGGGGTTTCACGGCGAACGCGTAGGAGGAAGAAGAACAGGACCGAGCGGGTTTATGGGCGGCCCCGGGTTTTTTTTTTTTTTTTTGAGACTTTTCGCGTATGCGGTTATAAAAGATCGTGTCCGAGCGGGTTTATTTAATTCCGCCGCGGCCCCGGGAGCATCTTTTTTCTCGTCGAGATCTCTTTCCCCTGCTCTGCGGCGTGGTTGGAGCGCGTTCTGATCGGTCCCGACTCCCCGACCCGGTCGGGTTTCCTCACGCACGGGGACGGGGGTCGAGACGGTTTCAGTTTGGGTGGGACCGGAGACGTGACTTTGTGTACGTAATAACGTAACTGTGTCGTGTGTACAAACCTATGTTGTTCCGTTAGTTTGTAGGAGTAGAAGCTTGTGCACGGATCTCCTGTCTGGGCCCTCCACATCATTTGCTTGCAGTAGAACGAAAACGGCCAGAAACATCGGAAAAAACCTTAGTTGATTCTGTTTTCCATAATTTTCATCATGGAAACAAAATCAGAAACGATCTCCGGAAACAAATACAAAGTCAATATTACGGTAACCTAGAATATGGCTGGTATTAGTCGGTAATCAATAATCTATGACAAAAAAACCTTAGGCCCTGTTCGCTTGAACTTATCAGTTATGATAGTGTTTTCCTCTCACGGCAAATCAGCGAATAGTATTTTTTGGCCCGTTTGGTTGGCTGAATTTTGGCTGAAACTGGCTGAAAACACTGTTCTGGCTGAATTGTTATGAGAGAAAAACACTGTTCCGACTAAAAAAAAAAAAGCCGAACAAGCCAGCTTCTGGGTAAGCCGAACGGGGCCTTCAGCCTAGCTTTTAAGCGAAGCGAAAAGGGCCTTAGCACCGTGTCAAAGGAATGAGAATGACACAAGTAATAATTCACACACATTTAGGGTCTGTTCGCTTGAACTTATCAGCCGGCTTATCAGCTAGAATTTACAATATTTTTCTCTCACAATAAATTAGTCAAGATCGGCTTATCAGCCGGCTTTAATACCAGCCGAGCAAGCCCCCTAATCATAAATACTCCAACTAGGTGATATGATTAGGTTCAATATAGCACAAGATGAAGTTGATATAAATTTATAAAGTGTTAAGTGCATCATAGGTCATTAACTTACGTGGGGGTTTCGGTTAGGTCCATTCAACTATAAAAATTGATTTTCAGGTCAAACTTTAAATATTTCATCGCAGTCTACACATTTTTTTTGTCCTTAGATCTGATGTAATATGTGGAGTTAGCATGAAATTAATTTTAGATCATAAAAGTAAGATTAGATACAAATACAATAAGATGGGACCATGTAGGCTTTTAGATGTTTGGGTGGTATTCCTTCAGTGACACGGCAACCAACATTGTGAATGTAAACATCAGATCTTGGTGGTTGCTTTTGGCTTCCTGTCACCTTGTGCCATCTTTTAGGTCTTGTTTAGTGGGTCAAATTTTGAAAATTAGGTTATTGTAGTACTTTCGTTTTTATTTGGCAATTAATGTTCAATCATAGACTAATTAGGCTCAAAACGTTCGTCTCGTAATTTCCAACCAAACTGTGCAATTAGTTTTTTTTCATCTATATTTAATGCTTGCAAGATTCAATGTGATGGCTACTATAACACTTTTTAAAAAAAAAATTTTGGAACTAAACAAGGTCTTAGTGATTTTTGACTGTACTGATATTTAGATAGGCGTTCGGCTGGCTGGCCAGCGCTCTTATAGTGACACTGTTAATAATCAGCCGGAATAATATTTTGATTTATTTTTCAGTCGTGCGAATAGGCCATGTACTCCGTACGGAGTATCTTTGCTCTGCTTATTCACCCGGACGTGTATTTTTCCTTCCAAGTTGTCACTATACAGAAACTGAGAAAGAAATTTCTTGATCCGTGAGCAGGCGTTCGCGCCTCGCCTCAGTCGTGCCGGTGCCTGCTGACGCCCCTGGCGAGCCGCCGCAGCGAGTGATGCTCGCCGTCTCGCCGTGCCGCCACCACGCGGCCGACGTTCCAGCCGCCGCCGTGGCCGTGGCCGTGGCCATCGTCGCTGGTCTCGTCCTCTGATCCCCGCAGCGCGTCCTCGTACACCTCCGCCGCCGCTGGCTGCTGCTCGGTGTCGATGCTCCACCAGGCGGCGCTCTGCCGGCGCGGCACCTGGATGTAGAGCATGCCCTTGTCGAGTTGGACGGTGATCGCGGCGGCGTCGTCGTTGACGTCGCAGCAGCCTGCGGGGAGGTCGAACCGCTTGGTGAAGTGGCACTACTGCCTGCCGCCACCCCCGTCGACGGCGCGCTCGCCGCTGACCTTGAGGCTCCCCGACGGCTCCACCTGAACCTTCAGCTGGTCCTTGCGGAACCCTGAGGAGATGTATCCATGACGTGACATGGATGGATGCCGCTATCCATAAGTAAACATCGATCTCTGCAGCTGCTAGTGAAAATTGAAAATGATGCGAGTGGCCGCCCGTAGTACTTGTGACGTCCACCACGAGCGCGTCGAACTCGCGCCCGTGCATCCACCCGCTGTGCGGGTCGATCTCGGTGAGGACGCGAGGCCGACGCGCCGCCGCTTCCATTTCTATTTCCTGTGTGCTTTCTTGATCTCTCTCCCTGCCCCTGTGCTCCGTGCTCGTCGCTCGCTCCCTTGAATCTGAAACGAGCCTGTACTGCAGATCGGTTATATAGACACGGTTTCGGGCGGAGTGGTAAAAAAAATTGGGAAGCGAGATCCAAGCTATCAGGAAAGAGATGAAGGAAAGTAAAGGATACCTGACCCAGGGAGTATGCACATCAATGGGCCTGCTGGTGGTGTTGGGTAATAAGGGATCTCGCGCATGCATAATGCATTGCTTCTCTGTAGTGTGCACCAGGAATTTGCTTCACCCGGAAGCTGATGCATATTCATAACTTCGTTGAAATAATTTCCAGTTTTCTATCATCACCTACTCAATTCCTAAATGTACAGTGTTTTAGGTTTGTCATAACTCAATATCTTCGAGTTTGAACTGATATACTTAAAAAATCAAAGCACATTATATATTAACCCCCCTCCATTCTAAATTATAAGCCGCTTTGTTTCTTTAGATACGTAACTTTTGCTATGTACCTAGATATACATTATGTTCATATATATCGTAAAAACTCTAGAAAACACAAAACAACTTACAATTTAAAATGAATGGAGTAGAACAAAGAGAGTAAGGGCGTGTTTGGTTAAATAGCCATGCAGAGGTGCTAGCGACAGAGTTTTTCTAGGCCGTCAGATTCGGTCGTCCAATGGCTAATTGCTGCATGGCGGCTGACCTATCTACCAGGTGCCAAACCAAACATGTCCTAAAAGAAAAGTTTGGAGCAGAGGGAGTAAAGATTCTAGAAGGTACCATGATAAGTTGATAGCACATTAAAATTATTATGCAATGCATCAAACAAAAATAAGTTGAAAAGTGAATCATTTGAATTTTATCTATTTTAACCTCTAAATTATGACATTTCTCGGTTTAGTTCTAAGAATATACGTCCTTGACAAGTTATCATCAATTGTGCTTGTTCGGAAAAAGAATAAGAAGGTCAATTAATAATCAAAAAAGATTATATGTGATGGTTGGATTAACCCATCTTACCTATTAGATTCATAGATTTTGACTTCGATCCATTCTCGACTTTGAGACCACCTCTCATGGTCCATAACCTTGATTTCATGGGCTAGACGGACTGCCTAATAGATCGATCCAGCCTATTTCCATCTTAAGGAACTCATAAGTGAGGATATAAATAAAATTTACCGTAAAATGGCAATGCAACTATAATATAGCATGCAACACCAAGTGAAATTCATAGGGCATGGATCCGGCTGTCTAAACATCCAAAAGATATGATATTCGTATCTATTTTAGCATTAATATGGATATTTGTATTCGTATTCGTATTCAATTTTAACATGATGTTCAATGGATGTATTTGAATCTGTTTTTAATGATCCTCTCTATCCAATTTCAGATCTGTATTTGAAAAAGTGTGAAATAGTTGACATTATCTATATCCATAAAGAACAAAGTACCATGTCAAACTTATATTTATGACTAATTAACCATGTAAATGATAATTATTTTAATAGGACTCGATTAAACTATTTAAAATTTATTTATATGGCTAATCATAAAGGTTAATTTTAATTTGTGATAATTTTAAACTATGAACACTTATATTTATGATAACTTTAATATTATAATTAATGATATGTAAAGGTTAAGTTTAGTTAACTTTGATATGACTAATCATATTAATTTTAAGCACTTTAATTTATTTATGTAATTACGAATCATATATATTTAAATTTATTTATAGATAAATATTTATATGTGTTGAAATATTTATCTCTACTCTTATTGTTTTTATATATTTCATTATCGAAATATTTATTAATATATATGTTATTTTGGGAGGTATCATTATCTATATGTATTATAAAATAATATTTTAAATTTTTACATGATTTTATATGTACTATAGATGAGCAAATCTATATGTTATCTTTAAAATCAAGTACATACCTGAATGCGAATCCAAATTTAAGATATCGTTTTGTATATCTGATAATATTTGTATATGTGTTTGGATTCAAATTAAAATATAATAATAGTGCTATCCGGATAAAATGACATACGAATCGGAATCCATCCCTAGAAATTCGTGTGCCCTTGCAGCATTCATGGGAGTATGTAACTAAGCCTTTAGCCCTGTTCGCCGGCCGTACCTTTTCAGCAAAATAACGGTGTTTTTCTCTCAACAAATCAGCATCAGCCGTTTTTCCAGTCAGTCGAACAGGGCTACCAAGTAGCTGTATGTGTCATCATTTTTTCATTCGAGAGGCAACATCAAAGAAATCCTTTTCTTCACTCAATATTTGAGAAATAAATTAAATTAAAGCCACACGCATCCCTTCTTCAGTCGGCCATCCATGTGATGGGCAGATTCTTCTTCGATACATATACGCGCGCAGCATTCGTCGCTATGGCCAGGAATCATACCATATCCCGTACCATACATATGCACGCGCCAGCACGGTTTATGGCCAGAGGCTGTACTTGACGTAGATGCCGAGGCTGATGAGGACCAGCATCACGCCGAGCACAGTGGTGGTCATCTTCCGGTTATGGAGGAAGCGGTAGCCTTGGCGTGACGACGGAGAAGCGGCCGCCGTCACCTCCCCTACCCCACCGGTGTCGTCGCCGCTACCGCTACTGCCGCCACCGGCGTCTTTCGCCGAGCTCGTCACGCGCTGCCTCGCTTCCTGCTTCCGCGGCGTCTCGTGCTTGTCCAAGGCCTGTCCTCGCGCGGCACGATCACGATCACCACCGTCTTGCTCCGCAGCGCCGACGCCGCCTTTCAGTTTCCGGTCTTGCACGTCGTCGCCAGCCGCGGCGGCCGTGCTAGCAGGCTTCGGCAGCGGGGACGAAGGCGGCGGCGGCTCCTGCTGCTGCTGCTTGCCGGTGCCGGTGCTGGCCGTGACGGAGTCGATGACCGGGACGGGCTCCGGCAGGACGCCAGGCATGGTGACGCGGACGACGCCGTTGTCGAACTTGGCGTGGATGGCCTTGGCGTCGCACCCGTCGGGGACGCGGAGCTCGAGGCGGAAGCGGCTCCAGCGGTTGCCGTCGACGGGGCGCTCCCCGCGCACGATCAGGCGCCGGTGGCTGTGCACCATCTGCACCTTGATGTGCTCCTTCTTGTACCCTGCCAGCCATTATGCCTACCAGCTAATTAACGTTACCTGCACGAGGAAAATGAACCAAGAAGAAGGGTACACGCATTGCTTGCCTTGGGCGGAGAGGTTGACGGTGAGGGTGTGGGTTGCCGGCTCGCGTTCCATTTGGTGCGGAGGCACGAAGTCCTCGTACACGCGCTCGCTGGAAGCCATGGATCACCCGCTTCTGGCTTCTCTTCTGCCTCCCGATTCAGAGCTAGCTCAGGCGACAACGATTGGGCTGATGATGGACGAACAGGAAATAAAAAGTAAATCCAAGGAAAGTCTGGAGAGGAGTATGCACGGGACAGTTTTGTTGAATCGAGGACATGGAAGATTGTTCATTGATGGCCAGATGAATATATACACACACACGCACACGCACTCTTTTTGCACGCATGGAGGGAGATGGTCATCGTGAGCTAGCGGTAGTGCATGTCGGGGGAGTAGGAATCGCTTGACGGAGGGGTAATTTTGCAGGTGGAGTTTGGGGGGCAACTCAGATGGGGGAATGGCGCGATACCTTGTCGCTCGCCCTGGACCCGTCTTCTTCCCCAGGATCGCGTCTGCGTGTCCCCGGCCAGCCACCATCCAAGGACGCCCAAGCACAGTGGCCGCATGAGGTCGGTCTCCAAGAGACTCAAAGCATACATGGAAGTATGGAACCCCGAACCCCAAAGTTTTAAGATCAGCATCTTGACACCGGTGGGCCTGTTTGGGCTATGGTGCCTGGAGTATGATTTGACAGTCGAGTCCGATCCTTTTCAGGAAGACTGCAACACTAAATCATCTACAGGATATGCACGAAAACATGAAGAACTGAACATAGAAACAAGTATCCTAATTTAGAGATACAACAAAGCTACTCAAGATACGGAGCATCAATTTCTCTGCTATCTACTACCCTCCAGTACCAAAGTGTCTAACCGAGCTCGTCCTGTAGAACAAATGAATTCGTAGCCACTTCAAAAAATGCACGACGCTTCCCCAGAATCTTTCCTCTAACATTAACCTCCTTCCAGGAAAAGCCCCATCCACTGTTTGTCCAGGAGGTAGACCCATGATTCACATTTGATGTGATTATTAGGATCTGGCAACAAAAAAATTGACTGTGCGACTCACACCATCCTGCAAAATTCAGGAATTCAGTATAAGGCATGCAGCAGCTGTGTGAAGCGCCAAAAGAATTGAAACAGCCGGTGACTTCTTTGCGACAGAAAGCCCTCAGGTCTGTGAATGACAAATATCAACAGTTCCTTGGACAGTTAAGCAGTCACCACTGATATTTGGCAGCTAGAAGAACTTCCTCATAGAGTTTAGCAGCATTATCCCAGCTTAGATCCTGCATCATCCCTCTACGTTGGATACCTTCCCAACTGCTCCTGTAATTTCTGTATGTGTTCAAGCAGTGCCCTAGGGCATCGATCATTCTGTTTGCCTCTGCTTTCTCAAAAGTCCATCCAACTCCAACCTCCTCATAGGGATTGTAATGTTCGACTGTGTCGCGGAGACCTCCAACCGCATGAACTACAGGGACAGTCCCATACATCATGGCATATAGCTGGTTCAGCCCGCATGGCTCAAACCTTGACGGCATCAATAGTATATCGGCCCCTGCTGTCATCCGATGAGCCAACCGAACAGAAAACCCAACCCAGCCCCTAACCTTGTCATAATGCTGGCTCTCGAGTCTCCTCAATGTATCTTCAAGGTCTTGTCTTCCAGTACCCAACATAATTAATTGTACATCCTGACCAGCAACCCATGGCATTGCCTCTGCTATCAGGTCTACACCTTTTTGATGGTCTAACCGTCCAATAAAAGCAATGACTGGAACATCGCCACGAACTGGGAGTCCGAGTTCTTTCTGTAGCGCTTCCTTGCACTGTGCTTTACCAGTCTGAACAGTTTCTAGAGAATAGTTGGTGTACCCACCAGATTGTAGATGGACATCATGCCTAGGATTCCAATCAGTAGTATCAATACCATTTACAATACCCTGGAATTTCCAATCATTTTCATTAACGATACTATGAAGGCCCCAACCACCATCAGGTGTTTTGAGCTCCCATGCATAACCATGACTAACGGTAAGCAAACGGTCAGCAGCTCTAATACCAGCTGCAAAAATGTTTAGATGATCACCTCCAAATGGATCATAAAGTTTGAACTGATCCATGTAATGACCTGGTAAATCCAGGTAACTGAAATCATCTATCGGGCCACGACCCTGGAAAGAGACATTGAAATTAACTTATCTGAATGGATAGCAAACTGAGTGAATTTATCTTCATGGATAGTATAAACGAAGTAGTTTTAATAGATAAAATATTTATAAAGTAATAGCATCAATGCTAAATTGCTAATGCAAACAGGTTCTAGAGTATAGAAACCAGTACAGCGCTTACAGAGGGTATAGTTATAAAGAGGGCAGCAAAATAGAAGCTGTTATCTGTACATATATCTTTAAAGACAATAAACATGAACCATATTATGTACAAGCATTCTGACATACCCATTATTTTCTAGTGCAACAAATATGCAAGACAGTCAAGGCACGACATAATTTGTGGCTTTCCTATCTGAGACCATGTTAATCTTCATGCCCATTGTTTGCATACAAAACTCTGCCATCATCTTGCGTGAGTTATGGTGCATCCAAAGGCTCTAATGATCACACGGTTCCCTGTCTAGAATTAAAGGCCACTTAAAAATTTCATATGAGGCCTAGAGGTATGTTACTTTAAAGGTGTATATTCTTGACTTTTCTTTTTACTGCAGGCGCATTCATGAACACAGAGTCCTATGTCCTGGGAACACCCCCCTTTTATCCACATTACCTTGGCATGTGGACCCACACAATTATGCACAAATCCTAGCCCTAGAATCTAGGGGAAACAAAACTCAGCGCTCACGCACTGTTCCTCACTTTTCTCTCAGCCTCATTACACACACTAACACACATTCAGGTAAAGGAGATCCTCCTGGACACAACAGCTTAGCGCCTTCATTGGTTGCCTCTACAGCCCTACCTGCTGCCTTCCAGCCACTCAATGCTACCTTCTGGGTTCCAAGCCCAAATCAAAGAAGCATTTTGAGGCCTTTTGATCAGCAAAGGCTCAGTCAAAGATGCATTCCACATGATAGACTTCTTTCCAATTTGAGAGACCAACCTCAAACGTGTCAGGGCGTCGTCAGTTCATCACAAGGAATGGCAGCAGGTAGGGGTTATGCTACATGATTCACCATGTTTGTCGGTCCAGAATGATTTCCCAAGTACTTATTTTCTCAATCTCTTTGGATTTCTCTTTGTATGCTCACAAGAGGCATGGGCAAAGGCTGCCATACACATGCTAGACATGCGCCTGGGCTCAAATTGCCTGGCAAGTGGCAAGTACAACCATGGGCCACTATGACCTGCGCCCACCGGCCTAACTGCCATCCTAGAGTAGATCACATAATTTTCCACTAACTACATCAATAGCCAAGTCTCTTAGTCTTAAACAAGTTGGGGTAGACTACTTATAAACCCAACAAGATGCACCAATGAAGGGGACAACAGAAGTAAATAGGTATAGCAATAGAATATATATAGTAAGAGCAATAATTTTCAATTAACTGAAACAGGTGAGATCCATGTAGTATGAAAGAGTAATAATTCTAACAGTAACAAAAAAAGATCTTACCTGATGTGCTATATTGTGTATCACAAGAACAGAACGGGCATATGGCATAAAACCATTGTCACGATAGTATGCCTTTAAATAAACAGGTAGAAGTGCAGTATGCCAATCATTTGCAATAAACACAAGATTTCCATCACCATAGCAGAAGCCACCACATGGAACATACCATTGAACCTAAAATGATGTTTTCTATAAGCATATTGAATAAGACAATGAAAGAGAAATAACAAGGTTAAACAAAGGCCACATATGTAGGCAATACTTCAACTGGGGAAAAAATTGTACCCCTAGAAAGGGCACTCAAACAGACCAAATGATAAAGTCGTAAAGATATCGTGTCTTATACATAAAAAACTGGATGTATCTGAAGGAGTGTTAATTGTGTAACTAGACATCTTAGATGTCAACGGAACTATAGATGTTACAGCCAAGAAAGGTTACCTCTACAGCTGCTTTGCACAACAAAACCATTCGTTTCCAGATGTCCTGCAAATAAAGGTTAATATGCTTAGTGTCAACAATAAACGACCCAAAAAAGCAAGAAACTGACAAGTACTCCCTCCATTCCAAATTATAAGACGTTTTGGCTTTCCTAGATACATTACTTTTACTATGTATCTAGACATAGTGTATATCTAGGTGCATAGCAAAAGCTATGTATCTAGAAAAGCCAAAATGTCTTATACTCTCTCTATTCCAAATTATAAGACGTTTTAAGTTTCTAGATACTCCCTCCGTTCTAAATTATAAGTCGTTTTGACTTTTTTGGTTCATCCATTTTGCTATTTATCTAGATGCATAGCAAAATGGATGAACCAAAAAAGTCAAAGCGACTTATAATTCGGAACAGACGGAGTACATAACTTTTACTATGCACTTAGATATACACTATGTCTAAATGCATAGAAAAATCAATGTATCTAGAAAAGCCAAAAAGTCTCATTATTTGGAATGGAGGGAGTAATTTGGATATAGATTTCATATCAGCTTTTAGTAAAGCAAATGTTTTTATAGCCTGGTGTGTGTTAGGTGTGTTTGAGAGCAGGCTCCAGCCTCTCCTTTGTACTAGGAGCAGGCACTTGCCTCTCCTTTGTGCCTTTTCTCTCTTCTTCTTCTTAATGAAATGATACACAGCTCTCTAGTGTCGTTCGAGAAAAAAGTATCAGCAAATGAAGTGGTATACTCACAGTTCGGTTCCCACCATAAATTTCACTCTGAACATAGTGGAAGACAGGATTGTCGATGAAAACAAAATCCACACCATCTATGTATGCA